CAGGAACACAAGCAGGGGGAGTGGGAGAGGGAGAAGCAGGCTTCCCGCTGAGCAGGGAGCCCGATGTGGGACTCGATCCCAGAACTCTGGGATCATGATCTGAGCCGAAGGCAGACGCTTAACAACTGAGCCACCCAGGCGCCCCGAGAATATTTAAGTCTCTTTTTATGTTTTATATTGTACAGCATAAAATGCCTGTTAAAATTTTCTAATTTAAATATTTAAAATAATTAGCCACTTAATATCTAGCAGGTAGTATTTGGTTTGAAGGACTTCAGAACTGATTGGCAGCCTTGGCTTGAATTTTTAATATTTTACCACAAATACTCTAATCAGACATCTAAGCCAGTTTCTTCATGAGATAATTTTGTGATTATGGACTTTGGAGGGAAACAAATTTATTATACTTATTCATAGCAGCAAAAAAGGTAAATACTGAAATAACTTTCCCTTTTCATATAAATATATAATTTATCAACCAAACTTTACTGAGCCACCAAGGTGCTTAGGATTTATTGTGCAGCGAATGGGACTCATGAGAGCAAAGGGCTGGGGTTGATAAGGATCGCTGAAAGCTAACCTACCAACTGTCCTCTGCACCTGTTACATGAAACTAAATGTGGCATTTTTAGAGCGAGGACTCATTTCCACCAAGGCCTACTGCTCTATCATTTTCTCACGCAAAGTTAATAAGCAAAATTTGCCTTCTTTATGGTTGAGTTTAAACATTCCACTCAAGTATTCATGAGTCCTGTCCATGCCTGCTCAGTCAACTCCACTGCAGGGTATCACCTCTGCACCCCGCAGTCTTAAACCAGCACATCACAACATCACAACATCACAGGACGACATCAAGCACCTGAGTTGAATGCACTATATTTCTAAGTTCTTTTGAATATACAGTTAATAATCTGGGAAAATTTTCAAAGTATTTTCAATATTCACAGTCACATACAGCGGTTAACAGGCAGGCTTTGATGCCAAACCACTAAGTATGTGACCTTGGGCAAGGTACTTGATTTTAGTGTTTCTCATCTGTAAAGCAGGGACTCTAGCAGTTCTGACCCTTGTAGGATTGTTGTGAAAAACGAGGACTGTCTAACACTCAGACTAGACCTGTCGTCACCAAGCACCAAATAAAAGTCATTAGTGGTGATCTTTGTTAAACAGTTCTTCACAATTTGTGAATTATACCCTTCACTTACCCAAAGATCCTATTCCATATACTCGAGCTGGTTTCAGCTCCCTCTCAGCTCGGGCATATTTTGCTGCCGCGACCATTTTCATAGACTTGGTGATTTTCTGGATGTTTTTGATTGACTTTAGTCGCCTGGTAACTGAAGAAGAGAAATACTGTGTTATGATAAAGGAGTTACCATTTCACTTGTGAATTTATCGCAATAGCTTTCTAAACTGTGAGGTAGAATAAGCAGCACTTAGACCATCGATTAACAGCATGATGCCAATTGAGGCTTGAAGTTAGAACGAGTACTGAGCAAAGGTGAAAGCCAGCCGCTGCTCAGACAGGCAAGGAGGCCACAGGAAAGCTAACAGAAGGTCAAACCCAGCTGCCACTTAGACAGAATAGGATGGCCGCAGAACAGGGCGGCACACATTAAAAACATTTAAATAGTTTCTTCTACTGACATCACTGTCATGGTACAGACAACAGAATCAGAACCACCGTGTGTTGCCTCACACTGGTCTTTTCCAAAACCAGTTCAATGTCACACACAAATTGACAAAAAGAATATTTTGTCAAGTTTTATCAAATATACAATGGGCTAAAGCAGCATATTTTTATTTCTATTTGTCAAAAATTAGCTTTTCTTAATTCACATATTGAGATAAAGTACTTACTATCTTTTAAAGTTGCCATATTTCGAACTTGGATCCTGAAAATGAAGATTTTAAAAATATTTTAGTTTTCTGAAAAAGAGCCCCTAATACAAGAAAAACTATCAAATACATTTAAAGAATGCCCCATAAAAAAACAATCTATTAAATATAAGACTCTGATATACAGATATTTATACACATACACACACATATTTAATCCCTTAATACTGATACCAAACCTTACTACCAAAGGCCTCATTTCATCTGCCTTAACAGCACAGACCTTCCACCAGTCACGATGGAGATCACACATGCTCCTAGTCCCACCTTCATGCCTCTGCCTGTACAGTTTCCATGACAAAAAAGTCCTTCCCATTGTTAGGCTATCCAAGTATACTTAAAACCAAGGTCAGCCACCTATAAAAAGCTACCTTGACTTCCTTAGTTCACTGAACACTTAGGATCAATTATACATTCTAACATGACCACATGTGTTAAAGTACAGTTTATTTAAACCAGTTCTTCTTCAACTCAGAAAAAATGTACTAAGCAGGGCGCCTGGGTGGCTCAGTCGGTTAAGCGTCTGCCTTCAGCACAGGTCATGATCTCAGGATCCTGGGATCGAATCCTACATCGGGCTCCCTGCTCAGTGGGGAGCCTAATTCTCCCTCTCCTTCCCGCTCATGCTCTCTCTTTCTCTCAAATAAATAAATAAAATCTTAAAAAAGAAAAATGTGCTAAGCATCTACTATGCTCCCGGACATGGTCTGTGACCATAGGAAGCATACTATTATCTCATAAACAAGATTCATAAAAACTTAAGATTTACATAAAATGTACATTAAATATTTTTCTAATCTTTATGATTACAGTGCTAATGCATAAAAGTAAAAATGATTTGACTTCAATGTATGTTAAATATACACACACACATCTACATTTATGAAAGCTACATTTATGAAAGATAAATACGAGAGGATTGCCACTCTACTAAGGAAGACAACGTGCTATCAAATAGAAATTATCTGTTAGGACTTAAATCTCTACAAAGTGTCTGTGTTGGCTCAGAAAGCTCCATGGGAGAACTGAAGAATCTGTGAATTTGTGTGTAAAGAAAGAAGGCCTAAGGAGGACATTCCCAAACAGGATGTAGTTTTGAAGCTGGAGACATAGGCTGGGTTAATTTAAATTTTATTTTATAGGTAGCAGGGAAACAATGAATACATACAAGCCCACAACCAGTTTAGTTTTTCAGTAAAGTACCTCAGATGGCAGTGAAAAACACAAAATGATGTTGGAATATTGATGACATGGGGACTGCATGGGGCTGCTGCAGTTTTCAGACTGGAGAAGGCAAGAATGTGAACTAACATGTTGGCAAAGCAACAGGAAGACTAGATTTATGAGCAAGTTCTCAAGAGTGAAGAGGAAACCAGTAAGAATGATTTCCAATTTAATGACCTGAGTGGATAGTGTCATTAACCAAGGTAGAAAAACTGAATGGGGATGATCTCTCTAGAGATAATGAATTTTAATGAATATGACATAAAGACCATGGGACAAGGTGGAAATGTCCAATGGGCTTGGGAAACGTGAGATTTTTGAGCCTTGAGATACAGATCTCTAACTCATGGAACATGGATGTTGGTGCCAAAACAGGGAAGTAGAATTAGAAGCAGAGGGAACATTTCCTAATTTTATGAGGCCAGCATTACCCCAATATCAAAACCAGATAAAATCATTGTAAGAAATGAAAATTAAAGGACATTGTCTCTCATGAACATAGATGCAGAATTCCTCAACAGAAGATTAGCAAATTGAATCCAACAATATATTAAAATGAATTTTATACCACAACCAAGTGAGATTTATTCCAGGTATGCAAGACTGGTTCATCATTTAAAAAACAAATAATATAATCCATCACACCCACAGGTTAAAGAAGAAAAATCATATGGCCAATAAATGCAGAAAAATTTTTTGACAAAATCTAATGCCCATTAACAGTAAAAATAAAACCCTCAGCAAATTATGAATAGAGAACTTCCTGAACCTGATGAAGAACATCTACCCAAAACCCCTGTGGTTTAATGATGAGAAACTAGGAGTTTCCCCCTAAGGCTGGGACTAAGGCGAGGATGTCCTCTCTCCTCACTCCTATTCAACATTGTACCGGAAGTCCTACCTAATGCAATAAGACAAAACAGGAAATAAAAGGTGTACAGATTGGAAAGGAAGAAATAGTAAAACTACCTTTGTTCATAAATGACACAACTGTCTATGTAGAAAAATCCTAAAGAATTGGCAAAAAATCTCCTGGAACCAATTATAGTAAGGTTGCACAGTACAAGGTCAATATATACAAAAGTCAACTGCTTTCTTTTTATCAGCTATGAACACTTGGGAATTTCAAGTTAGAAAAATAGCATATTAAAAAAAAAGAAAAACAGTATCATAGAATTGTAGATTTAAAAATGGTTAAGATGGGGGTGCCTGGGTGGCTCAGTCAGTTAAGCGTCTGCCTTTGGCTCAGATCACGATCCCAGGATGGAGCTCGATCCCAGGATGGAGCTCCGAGGTGCGGGGTTGGAAGGGGGGTTCCCTGCTCAGCAGGGAGTCTGCTTCTCCCTCTCCCCAGCTGGTGCTCTCTCTTTCTCTCAAATAAATAAAATCTATAAATATAATATACATAATATATGTAACATATAAATAGAAATAAACAAATCTTTAAAAAAATGGTTAAGATAGTAAATTTGTTATGTGTATTTTACCACAATTAAAAAACACACAGAAAAAGACTACATATAAATCTAACAAAATATGCCACAAGAAAACAACAAAACTGATGAAAGATCTAAATAAATGGAGAGAGATTCCATACTCATGAATAGGAAGATTCAATGTTACTAAAATATCAATTCTTCCCAACTTGATCAATACAATTTTTGACAAAACCTCAGCAAGTTGTTTTATATATATCAATAAACTGATTTTAACATTTATATGGAAAAGCAAAACACCCAGAATAGCCAACACAATATTGAAGAACAAAGCCAGAGAACCGACACTACCTGATTTCAAGACTTACTATAAAAGTGTGGTAATCAAGACAGTATGGTATTGGTGAAAGAATGGGCAAGTAGATCACTGGAAGAGAGAACCCAGAATTTCACTCATAAGTGAAGTCAAAAACAACAACAAAAACAAATGAAAATACAAACAAAAAGTAGAATGAGACCTACAAACACAGAGAACAAACTGAGGGTTGCCAGGGTGAGAGGGGTGGTGGGGGATAGGCAAAATGGGTGAAGGGGAGTGGGAGATACCAGCTTCCAGTTACAGAATGAGTAAGTCTGGGGAATAAAACACACAGCATAAGGAATAGAGAATCCAGAAATAGACCCACACAAATACAGTCAACTGATTCATGTTTGATACAGGAGCAAAGGTAATTAAATGGCGAAAGGATACACTTTTCTACAAGTGGTGCCGAACAGTGGACATCCATATGGAAAAATATTAATCTAGATAATAATCCTACACCTTTCACAAAAATTAACTTGAAATGACTCATAGATCTTAAGGATAAAACACAAAACTATAAAACTTCTATAAGATATCACAGGAGAAAATCTAGGTGCCTTGGGTATGGCTCTAAGTTTTTAGATAAACATGAAAAGCATGATCCATGAAAGAAAAAATGATTAAGCTGGACTTTATTAAAAACTTATGCTCTGTAAAAGCCACTATTAAGAGAAGGAAAATCCAAGCCACACAATATTTACAAAATACCTATCTGATAAAGGACTGTTATCTAAAATATACAAAGAACTCTTTAAAACTCAGTAAGAAAACAAACCACCCAAATAAAAAATGAACAAAAGATCTAAACACAAGCCTAAGATAAACAGATGGCAAAAAAGCATAAGGCGCTCAGTATCGTGTCATTAGGGAATTGCAAATTAAAACAATGAAATACTACTTCACACCTGTAAGAATGGCTAATTTTTTTTTTTTTTTTTTTTGAGAGAGGGAGGCAGAAAGAGAATCTTAAGCAGGCTCCACGACCAGCATGGAGCTGTCTCAGGGCTTGATCCCACAACCCTGAGATCATGACCTGAGCTGAAACCAAGAGTCAGATGCTTAACTGACTGAGCCATCCAGGTGCCCCAAGAACAGCTGAATTTTTTTTTAAATGACAATTCTTTTTTTTTTTTTTTAAAGATTTTATTTATTCATTTGAGAGAAAGAGAATGAAAGACAGAGAGCATGAGAGGGAGGAGGGTCAGAGGGAGAAACGGGCTCCCTGATGCGGGACTCGATCCTGGGACTCCAGGATCATGACCTGAGCCAAAGGCAGTCGCCTAACCAACTGAGCCACCCAAGCGCCCTAAATGACAATTCTAAATGATGGCAAGGATGTGGAGCAACAGGAACTCTCACTGATTGCTGGTGGGAATACAAAATGGCACAGCTACTTCGGAAGATGGTTTGACAGTTTCTTAAAAATCGAAACAGTCTTAACATATGATACAGCAATCACGCTTCTAGGTATTTACCCAATTGAGCTGAAAACTTATGTGTACACAAAAACCTGCACACAAATGTTTATAGCAGTTTTATTCACAATCGCCAAAAACTGGAGGCAACCAATGTCTTTCAATATGTGAATGAATGGAAAAACGTGTACATCCATACAATGGAGTTATCCAGCAATAAAAATAAATGAGCTATCATGCCACAGAAGATATGGAGGAATCTTAACTGTATATTGCTAAGCAAAGAAGCCAATCTCAAATGGTTATATACTGTCTGATTCCAACTATCTGACATTCCAGAAAAGACAAAACTACAGCAAGAGTAAGATCAGTGGTTGCTAGGATTCTGGGGAAAGACTTTTAGGGCAGTGAAACTATTCTGTAATGGTAGATACATGTCATTACGTATTTGTCAAAACCTACAGAATATACCACAAAAAGAATGACCTTAATGAAACCATGCACCTTAATAATGTATCAATATTGTTTCATTAATTGTAGTACATACACCACACCAATGCCAGATGTGGTTAAGTAGAGAAACTGTCCAGAGTGGGATGTGGGTATCTGGAACCCTCTGTACTCAACTTTTCTAGAAATCTGAATCTGTACTAAAAAATAAAGCCTCTTCACAATACCTTCAGAAAAGGATATTATAAAATTATGTTTTATGATCCCATTTTTGTGATTATATGTATATAATATGCATAAAAAGTTTGAAAAGGTCATAACCAAAACCTGTATTTTTAACAACCTTTCTCTCCCTCTCTTTAAAGATTTTATTCATTTGAGAGAGAGACACAGAGCAAGCACAAGTGGGGGGGCAGAGGGAGAGGGAGAAGCACACTCCCCGCTGAGCAGGAAGCCCGATGTGGGGCTCGATCACAGAGCCCTGGGATCATGACCCAAGCCAAAGGCAGACGCTTACCCGACTGAGGCACCCAGGTGCCCCAAAATCTGACTTATATATCTTACTATTGGTGTTATGCAGCCATAGACAAAGAAATATAGAGAAGAGGATGGAGACTACATGAAAAACTTTAGATTTAGTTATAAGAATGGATCCACTAACAGATAAGACAGAAGTTGTCAAAAACTGACAAGTTCTGCTGTTTCAGAGCACTTACCTGACATACTGACCATTCCATTAACATCTGTTCATAATGGCACTTGGAAAATAACATCATTTGTTGATTTTTTTTTTTTTTTGTAATACCTACTTTTTCACCCCAACCAATCTAAATGTATAGACTATAAGGAGTGACATTTGGACATTATGGATTTAGGCAAATACTCCAATTTAACGGACATAAGTTTCTAGTCAGAGAGTATCAGGGAATAAATCTGAATTGCATGCCATATTTGGATGAACACAGAATGTTTTGGTTTCCACAAGTATCCCAAGTGAGAGGTATGAAGAGGTAGGATCTTTTGTGATTCTTTATGCTGTGCACATGCCCTAATTTCCTATTTTGAAGTGCTCTCATGTTTAGCTTTCATTCAGTTCTAAAGACGTCTATGTTATTTTTAAGTACAATTTGAGTACATACAGAATAACCATAAGCTGACTCCAACTCTTTAGGGGCAGCTTGCTCTACTGAATATATAATTTTTGCAAATGAAAATATAAAGTTTTGAATCAGTTGTTTGTTCTGGAAACTGCATCAAATCCTGAGAAATCCTTGGGAGATTATTGGAGAAACTTAAAACATATCAGATATAGTGGATAGAAAAGTCAGAGGTTGTGGATTACCATTATTTTTTTTTAAGGATTTTATTTATTTTTTGTGAGAGAGAGCAAGCGTACATGAGTGGGGGGAGCGGCAGAGGGAGAAGCAGACTCCCTGCTGAGCAGAGAGCCTGATGCGGGACTCGATCCCAGGACCCTGGGATCATGACCTGAGCCGAAGGCAGACGCTTAACTGACTGAGCCACCCGGGAGTCCCAAGTTATTTTTAATTTTATTTTATTATTATTTTTTAAAGATTTTATTTATTTATTTGACACACAGAAAGAGAGCACAAGCAGGGGGAGCGGCAGGCAGAGGGAGAAGCAGACTCCCCGCCGAGCAGGGAGCCCGATGTGGGACTCGATCCCAGGACCCTGGGATCATGACCAAGCCAAAGGCAGACGCTCAACAGACTGAGCCACACAGGTGCTCCTATGTGAAGTTTAAAAAATCAAATTAAAAAAAAATTTTAAGATTTTATTTATTTGAGAGAGACCGCAAGCACACAAGCAGGGGGAGGGGCAGAGGGAGAAGCAGTCTTTCTGCAGAGCAGGGAGCCCAACTCGGGGCTCAATCCCAGGGCAGACGCTTAACCGACTGAGCCACCCAGGCGCCCCTGTGGATTACCATTATTTACTATGATCATACAGCAGTGTTAGCAAAACTAAGAGTAGTAATAGAGGAGGGAGTCCCAGCAAGGTTGCTAGGGGAACGATTCCTTAAAGAAATTTCAGTTTGCAAGAATGTTAAGATGTATGCTGTATAAATGTAAAAATTAAGGAAGCAGCAGCATCAGCTAATTCTTAGGGGGAAATTATGAAGTATGTCTAATTCTAATAATAAATGATTGTATGAAAGTCCATCACCTGCCTGTCCGCCAAAAAATGACTCCCTGGCACTTTTCCCCCACGACCACCCATGATCCAGTCTTGTTTGGCAAGTACAATAAACCTTCTTATATTACATTTTATGTAGGAACTGCATAATGTCGTTTTCAATTCATGTATCTGGATCCATACCAGCATTTCTTCTACCACGCTATGTTCTTTACAAATACTCATTTAATCTTCATGCTAACCCAATGAACTGTGCACTATTATTACCTCCATTTAACAGATGAAGAAATGGTGGCACAGACACTGAGTAACTTGTCCAGGGTCACACAGCCAGGTGAGTGGCAGTCGAGATTCAAATCCTGGTAGTTGGCTCCAGAGTGGATCTCCTACACTACATAACCCGATGCCTCACATTTTTTTACTTTTACAAGTAAATAAATATCTGCCTCCTCAATCTCAGAATGTAATCTGCCTTCTGTCTCCTGAAATGCCATCTCCCTTCCTTTTCCACAAATATAATTCAATTAATGGCTATTGGTATGCTACCATAAAACAGTTCCACTTTAGAGAATGGGGAACACAAAATAGAAATGTATCTTCTCCTGATCTGAAGACAGGGGAAAAAAAAAAAAATCACACTTCTCTTCCTTATTTCCATTTTCTTACATGCTACTTAAAAACAAGTTTAATTTCCCGAAATTTTGGGTATTTTACTGATATCCTAAACAACTAACATAATTTCACTAAGATTTTAACAAGGCCTAATATTTAGCTAATGTTAGTAAGCTAACCTCCCTGAAACAAAACCTGTAACAGTAACAAATGGCATTTTTAAAGCTTCCAATAACCAAAACAGAACGGAGAAAATGCCCCTTCCTGGTTCTGTAAAGGCAAAGCTATTTTTCTCCCCTTCCAAATTAATTCTGTGGAGTGTGAAACATTAAGATGGTTTTCATTTCTGAATTTAAAAGGCAATTATGAACAGGAAGCAAAAGGCCACCCAGAATAATGGAATACGTGAAAATGCTTTCCCTTAATGTTTGATGAATATTCATAACCTACCAATTTAAAACCAACATTCTAAAGGGGTTAAGGTCCGGATTACAACCTGTATCTGCTGATGTAGGTTCCAATTTAGGAGCCTAACAGTTCCGTCAGACTACTCTTATTTAAAACCATCCTTTATTCTAAGATCTTCAAACTGCCTTACAAGTTTTTTTAAAAATTGCTACAATTTTACGCAAAATATTTTGTCGTTTCAGAAACTCTTTCTATTTCTTAAAGATGAATTCGGATACTACCTCGGGTGAAAATACTGACAGATGACATTTCTGCACCGCAACAGGGGAAGGAGAGCTGATGTTTGCTGAGCGCCACTGCATGCCAGAAACTGTCCCATAAAGCTCACTAAGACCTTATGTATTTGTTTAGCACCACTTTTTAGTACTTTCCATAGTACCAACTTGGTGCAGGGCAGGCACCCAACAAATGTGTGCTGAGTGATTAACAAATGGGACAACCTACATGACTGAGAGTCCAACTACGGTGACTTAATTGCCATGAATACTCATTTTCAATATTAGAAAAAAATCTGACTTTGAAGGCAAATCCACCAACAGTTTTATGTAGGTATTCACATCCTACTCATTACCCTAAAATTTTTCTCTATTGTTACGAATTATTTCCTTAATGAAAAACGTACTTATTTCCATTAAGGCTTTCTAGTCCCTCCACATGAAAATTAGGACACAAAATCTAGTTTTGCGCTGCAGCTTGTTAGAATTCTTCTTTACTGTAAAACCGGAGAATTGCTACACTCAGCTTTTAGCTAATAATCCCCTTAGCACCGCGTCTGAAATTCTTCCAGACTGTCTAGCTTTAAGACATTTCATCCTATTATATGGTACAACCCACAAACCAACGTTTATCTGCCTATTGCGTGGCCTTCTAATATTCAATTTTTTTTTCGGAAACCAATGTTTAAATTCCTTAAACTTGCACGGCAGTTAACAGATGGCGATTGAAAGCCATCTATCTCCTCCTCCTCAGGACCTTCGGACAATTTCATGACCTTGCAGGGTTACTGCTTCAACATAATGGTTTCAAGACAGGGCTAGGTGTCTTTCCCTTCCGATCGCCATTAGGCGGATTTTTAAGGTCCCTTTTGCATCCAAACTACCATAAGCCCACGAAGGCACTTATTTTAATCAGTAGTGCCCAGCAAAGAGCCCGCGCTACATACACGTCCTGGCTGAATCGAACAGGTCTTACTGGCCCATGCAAACCCTGCCCAGCACTAGAGGGTTCCAAAAGGCGTCAAGGACAGAAAGCACAACCTAACCTTCCCTAGACCTTTTCTTAGGTCTTCCCCACCCCCTTTGTGGGCCCGGGGAAAGACTCGGTCTTCACCAGCCCGCACGCAGCAGGGGCTCCGTGAGTGTTAGTTGAGTGAATCCCAGACCGCCCTGAAATCAATTCAGACTAAAGTCTCAACCCCGCGGTCCATGATGACCGCTCCTCGTGGCCCTCACCCCGCCCCACCCCGCCTCAAGAGACGTGGCGAGCCCTTACTGTCACCGCAGCCCCTTCGAGCACCCTTCCCGGATCGGAGGGGCTTCCTGCAATCTGGGCTTCCTGGGGCCTCCTAGGGACTGGGGGCCTCGCAGGCCCTGCGACCCCTGTCCTCCCACTCGCCTCCACTCGCTTCCTCTTCCCCCTAACCGAACTCCTCCATTCCTCGCAACCCTCCCGTTCCTTCCGCAAACCGCCATACCATTGCGGCTGCACCGCGCAGGCCGAGAGCCCAGCGACGCCCGCCCGAGAGAACATGGTGGTACCGGCCCGGCTGAAGGTCGGTCAGACAGACCTCACCGCGCATGCGCGGGACCTTCCCGAGGCGCCCTCCCACCCAGTTTTTCCCTTTAGTCTCGCTTCCTCCCGCCGGACGGGAAGCCTCGCGAGCGTTGGGTGCTCAGCCTCTGGAGGCCCCACCTCCTTCCGGCTCGCGGCTGGTATTTGGCCCGCCCACTCCTCCCCCCGCCCCCCGACAGCTTCATTCCGCTTCCGGTTGGCGAGGCGCTGGGCTTCAGCAAAGTTGTCGCTACCGTGGTCGCGATGGGGAAGTCAGATTTTCTTACCCCAAAGGCCATCGCCAACAGGATCAAATCCAAGGGGCTTCAGAAGCTGCGCTGGTATTGCCAGATGTGCCAGAAGCAGTGCCGGGATGAGGTAGGCGGGCCTGGATGGGGCCCTGCTGGAGATCCAGGTTCAAGCCCCTGACACTGGGGGTGAGGGAGTGGATCTCAGGTCTCTAGTCGTGGGTTTCGCGCTGGGCGAGTCAGCTTCTCAAGTCAGTAGGGCCATTCTTACCTGCAGCCCTCATCCTAGGGGGACCAGTGGTCTCTCACACCTCATTCCTCCACGATCTTCCTCCAAAAATAAATGAAATAAGAAAAGGTTTTGCAGCTCTCGTAGACGTGATGCTACTCAAGCTGTCATGAAACGGGGGGCGTTGAATAGTGCAGCGCCGGATGCCTGGGGGAGAACAGTAACAATCATCTCTGACCTGACTCGACTCAAGAGAAACAGGGTGGTTAGGATTCACACCTCTTTTCGGGATTAGATGAAAAAGGACAACTAAGCTCTGGCACACTACTCACCTAACAAGCGTTTATGGAGCACCTACAGTGTGTCGGGCCCAGGGTATTACTGTGGATAGGATCGTGGACGGGAGTCAGACTGTCAGAATCCTGAATCCTAGCCGCGCCACTTCCTAACTATGTAGTTTTGGCCACGTTGCTTACATTCCCTCTGCCTGTATGCTTATCTTGTAAAGTGGAAATAACAATTGTACCTACCGGTAAGATTGTGAGTTTTAAATCAGTGAATTATGCGTTCAGTGGCTCAGGGGGTCTTTGGGCAGATATAGGAAGTTTTGTATGCCATACAATGGAGTTTATACTTTTTTTTCATTAATGAGGTGGATGATAAAGCACCTTGAAGAATTGAGAGCAAGCTAGTGACAGGATCCTATTTTTCTCTGGAGACTGAGTTGGATTGGGTAGGTGCAGGGGAACACTGGGTAATTGGAAGAATCTACTCGAGTGTTTCTGCAGCGAGAGATGAGATACTTAAGTAGGACTTACACTGAATAACACTGATGCAGTTTTTCCTTTTCATTTCTCTCCAGTTCTTTCTTTTTAACAGTCAAGGTGAAATTCCCACACAGAAAACTAGAAACTAGTACAGTGAACATTAATATATCCATTACTCATATTTAACATTTTAAGCAACTTGCCTATCTTTACTTTTTTCAGAAATATTTTTTTAAAAGATTTTATTCATCTCTCTGACAGAGAGAGAGAGACAGCGAGAGAGGGAACACAAGCAGGGGAAGTTGGAGAGAGAGAGGGAGAGGGAGAAGCAGGCCCCCCGCTGAGCAGGGAGCCCGATGCAGGGCTCCATCCCAGGACCCTGGGATCATGACCTGAGCCAAAGGCAGATGCTTAACGACTGAGCCACCCAGGCGCCCCTCAGAAATATTTTAAAGTAAGTTGCAAATATCGGGATATTTCATCTCTGAATACTTTGGTATTTAAATACTTAAATACCTAAGTATTCTAAGATATTTGGATATTTTTCAAAATAGCCACGATGAACATCATCCCACATAACAAAATTAATAAAAATTCCCTTATGTCATCTGATACACACTCTATATTCACATGTCCTCACTTGTTCCCACAAATGCTTTTTAAAAGTTATTTTCAAACCAAGATCGAATCAAAAGCTATGAATTGGATTTGTTATTTGGACTTTAAAAAACAGATTTTTTTTTAAGAGCATTTTTAGGTTCACAACAATAATGAGCGGAAGGTACGGAGATTTCCCATACACACTCAGGCCTCACGTATATACAACTTCCCCAGGATCAGCATCTTGCAAAAGAGTAGTACTTTTATTACAGTCAGTAAAGCTACATTGACACATCATCATCACCAGAGTCTTTAGTTTATAGTAGGGTTCACTGTTGATGTTGGATGGTCTATGGGTTTGGACAAACGTATAATGACACATATATCCATCCCTGTAGTATCATACAGAATAGTTTTGTTTCCTTAAAAATTTCTGCAGTCAGTTATTAGGGCTTTTATTTCTCTCTCAATTCTAAACTGAGTATAGAACCCACTTCCCTCACCCTTCCTTCTGCCCCCCTGAAACCCAATTATTTTTCTTTTTTTTAGTTAATTTTTTTATATGCCTATAGTTGACACACATTACACACACATTACATTAGTTCCATTACTTTCAGGTGTACAACATAATTTATACCTTATGCATATACAAATTTATACCTTATGCTGTGTTCACCACAAGTATAGCTATCATCCATACCATACAGCATTATTACTATACCATTGACTATAATCCCCATGCTATCTTTTTTTTTTTTTTAAGATTTTATTTATTTATTTGACAGAGAGATAGAGAGAGAGAGCAAGTAGGCAGAGTGGCAGGCAGAGGGAGACGGAGAAGCAGGCTCTCTGCTGAGCAGGGAGCCGGACATGGGGCTCGATCCCAGGACCCCAGGATCATGACCTGAGCCGAAGGCAGATGCTTAATGACTGAGCCACCCAGGTGCCCCCAGAGACAATATCTTGTCAGCTCCCTTTCAGGGGCAAAAATCAGCCTCGGCATGAGAGCATTTGCTTCTCTGGATTGCAGGTTTACAGGGCTCCATGTTTGGTTGGCATCTCATGGGGCTCCCTTTCTGTGGGCAAGAAATCCCATCAGCGCCCCAGGTCAGATGATGAAGGGCAGTGTGTACTATCCTTTCCCCTCCTGGCAGGGTCCATAAATGTCAGCCCCTCTCTCTGCCAATGAGAATCAGCCAAGCGACCTTTTTTCTAGTTTTCTAAGACAATGAACATGGCAGAAATCTTAGAACTCAATTTGTAAAAGTCTGCTCACAGTGAGCATCCAAGCCCATGAGTGACATGGCCTCCATGATGCAAACAGGAGAATGGGTTTGCATCTGACTCTCAGAGTGCTTCATCAGTCATCTTCAGCCTGAGCCATCCCAGTGACAAGAGCAACTGATTTATTTTAGCCTTGGCCATTACTGTGAGTAGTGTTGTTCCCAGAGAATCCCCCATCTATCATTTCATTATGTCTTCCACTTAAACGTGAAAAATTATTCCTTATTTTAAGGAGTACCACGTCCAGGAGAAAGAGTATTTGAGTTAGTGCAGGGTCCAAGAAACTTGTCTCGGCCCCTGACGATTGCAGTATCTCCAGCAAAAACTTTTGCGATGGGTCGTGTTGCCAATATGGACGTCAAGTCTTAGAATGGTTAGTACCCTTCAACCTAACAAATTCACTTCTAGGAACTTGTCTCAGGGAAATTATCAGAGCATCCTTACATATCCCTGCACTAATTTGTGGCAAGAATGTTTCTCACTGGGAAAAAAAAAAAAAGGAACATAACCCACTAAAAGGGATTGGGTAAATTAATTATGATTCATTCAACCATTTTGATGGATTACTAGGTAGCCATTAAGTGAAAAAGACAGGTCACAAACCAGGGGGTAAAGAATGATCCCAGGCTTCTAATAAGAAATAGTAGGCGCGTGCTTCAACAGGCAAAATGTTGATGCTATCCTCTGGGTGGTAGAACCATGTAAAGCTTTTAATTTCTTTCATGTTGCTGAAACACTTTATTAGAAGTATATATTAATTTGCAATCCAAAAGGAAATAAGTGGTGTTGTAAAGGAGAAGGAGAAAACTTGGTAGACTCGGGGTTTCTACCCTGACTGTGTGTGATCTTGGACAAGGCTCCTGATCCCCTGTCCTCCCTCAGTTGTCTCATCTGTAAAATGGGAACGAAAACATGGACCCATCCATTGTCCTAAGGTTGTTAGGCTCAAGGGAGAAAGTAAAGGCAAAGGGGATATATGCTTATAAATGTGTGTGTATAAAATAAATACACATATGTATGCATATGTAATCCTATACATGTATACACACATACATTTTTTAAATCGTGCCTTTATTATGAGATAAAAGAGCACGGAGGTAGCACAATGGCAGAATTGAGATTAATGAATCAAAACTATGTCCACTAAATTAAGGCATTATCCTTAGAAGATCCTGGTAACAGTACAGAGTGTTATATCGCTCTAGAATGCCCCTTCTCGATGATACACTGTAAATTCATTTTGGTGACCTAGACAGAAACAAAATCCTCTTTCTTTGAGTCAGGTGGGCTTTTACTCTTTGAAACATGAACCTGACTAAGCATTTTCTCTCCTGCTAAGAAATGTGCATTTACAAAACAATGTTGCAGCTTTTTGTCTTCATTGAGACATTCAACCAATAAGATGAATGGAAACATTTTGAGACGCTGCAAGTTTTCTTTTTTGGAGTTGCCTGTGTTTAGTGGATAATTTGGATACAGTCTCAGAGCATAAGGGAGCATAAATTATAACCAAAATGGGACCATTGGAGACAATGAAGGGAACTGCTATTATAAAAAAAAAAAAAAAAAAAAGCTGGGAGAGAGAGAGAGAGACATTTGGGGAGTAGAAATTAGGGCAGGTTTTGAAATATTTTCAAGTCTGGTTACTACCATCTGTTAGGAGTCTGTGTTGCTAGGGATTTATTGTTTCCTATCTATGAAATCCTCTGACTATGGAAAACAAATTTGAAAAAAGATGATTAAACTTCTTTTTCAATGGCAAGGAAGTAAGGCAGAGCCATGGTGCAGCAGGCTTGGAATCAGCATTGTGGGCATGGCTATTAAGTTTTTTAAAAATGCCTTTTGCAGCTCATTTTTGTACTAAAGCGTACTCTGCTACTGAGCTCCTTCACCTAGGAGGGGCACCTAGCAGATTATACAGCTGTTCAGGAAGATCAGACAACAGGAGAGTTCTGAGGTGAAGTCATTTGCATAGGGTATCCTACAAGGTCAGTTGGTTGCTGAATATTCCCTGAGATTCCTGAAAGTGAAACCAATTTAGTATTTGCATCCATTACTCAGATTGCGAAGTTAAAAAAAAAATCGGCAAACAGGATGAATCAGATTGTGTTGTGAAAATAGAAATCAACAGCACACTGTTTTGCAGCAAACCAATGTTTTGCTTGAGTGTTAGAGATTAATGAGTGAATCTATCAAATAACTTGTATTAGCATAAATGCCTCCGTATTCCCAAAGGCCCCGCTAAATTGAGTTGGAAATGCTCGTATATATCCCCAAATTCTCTCCACTCATAATTCACCTGTTCTCAAACCTCCATTGTCTTCTCAGCTCACCCAGAATAAGATCGTGTCATCCAGGACTCTATATGAGCTCACCGTAGCCTAGACATACTTGGCAGCTTTGCTGTTTCTTATAGATGCCAAGCTGGTTCCCACTTCAGAGCCTCTTTCCTGACTGTTCCCTCTGGCTGGAAAACTCTTTCAACAGATGGCCAGTCCTCTCAATTCATGTAGGTCTCCTTCTAAGAAAATGTTCCTGACCACCTGTTAAATAAGAGCCTCCCATTTCCTTGGGAGTACCACTTGACTTTGTATTTATTTACTGCCTGCTTCATCCTCTAAAATTTAAATTTCATGGTGGCACAGTTTTGTTCACCATCATATTCCCATACAAGCAAAGTGCATGAGTAGTATGAAGATGGATTATTTATTTTTCCAAAAATATTCACTTCCTGCTATACCACTCTGCCATATTAATGTTCGCTTGGCTATACAACTTGGTTTAACCTCATGGTGTAGGAGGTACATTTCCCTGCCCCTTGACTTTGGTTTTGACCATGGGACTTGCTTTGGCTAATGGAATGTTAGTGGACACAAATGGGTAGAGGTTCCAACCAGCCTTGCCTTCCTGCCATGAGAAGAACATGAGTCAGATGGTTGCTAACACTGGGGAGATAGGAAACCACCTGGATCCAACTTACAGCCTAAAGTCCAGCTCAACCAAGCCCACCCTAAACCAGCTGGGCCCCAGTTGACCCTAGGACAGATGAGCAGGAAGTGAAAATATCACTAAAACTTCGTGTTTTACACATCAAAAGCCATCTGATAGAAGAGGTCCAAAATATTTATTGAATGAATTAATAGTTAAGATTTTAGTGTTTTTGGGGTGCCTGGGTGGCTCAGTCATTAAGCGGCTGCCTTCGGCTCAGGTCATGATCCCAGAGTCCTGGGATCGAGCCCCACATCAGACTCCCTGCTCAGCGGGAAGCCTGCTTCTCCCTCTCCCACTCCCCCTGCTTGTGTTCCTGCTCTCGCTGTCTCTGTCTCTGTCAAATAAATAAATAAAATCTTAAAAAAAAAAAGATTTCAGTGTTTTAAACGACTTCTATCTTATGAATGCATAATGAACTATTTTATACTTAAAAATATATATGAAATCAGGGCACCTGAGTGGCTCAGTTGGTTAAGCGACTGCCTTTGGCTCAGGTCATGATCCTGGAGAACTGGGATCGAGTCCCGCATCGGGCTCCCTGCTTGGCAGGGAGTCTGCTTCTCCCTCTCCCACTCCCCGTTTGTGTTCCCTCTCTTGCTGTGTCTTTCTCTGTCAAATAAATAAATAAAATCTTAAAAAAAAAAAAAAAGGTAGTTCAGCGCAAAGCTCAAACAATTGCACAAGTACTTTGCTCAAGATAATCACTGTCCAGCAACAGAAGTGGTTTACTCATAATCCCATTTCATCACATAGGATAGTGGACAGAGGTAGCCCCACAGGTTGAGATTTAATCCTGTTACTGATACTGCTTTGTCAAGGACATTCTCAATGAGACTGGCATTGACTTTCACCGAGAGTGCCTGCCCATGAAGAAGACCTGGGCCGCTAGTCCAGGGTGGCCTCATTGCCTACTGCCTGGACTTGGCTAAGATGCCAGCAGGTTCTTCCTGCATGGCTTTCGTGCCATCAAGGCAAGTAGCACAGTGTAAAAGGGCAGAAAGGATTTATCTGTGAACCGCCTAAGAACATCTGGAATACACTGGATACATGTGCCACATTTGGGGAAATATCAGTCTGGCCAGAGCCATCCACACTAGAACCTTCCTCTCTACGCCCGTCCACTGCGTCCTCGGTAGCTGCCCTCCGCCTCCGCCAGCCCCCTGGAGGGTCGCTTGTGCCTCTTTCCGTTTTCCTCTCTATCTTTTCTCAGTGGATGGTGCTCTTAACTGTCCGTGAACGCCTCTCTGTTTTTCATTCTTTCCTACTCCTCCTCCCTCTGCTTACTTTTTTCCTTAACCCTCTGCCTGTCCCCCCAGCTCCTCAAATGCAAGAACGTTCTTCAGAACGCCCGCTTGGCTTCCTTCCCTCCATAGTACAGGGGTTCCAGGAGTTCCGTTATTCTTGCAGCTGTTAACCTTTGTGTTGGATGACTCCTAAATCTTACCATTCATTCCTAACATCTGTCTTAAGGTGTAGATTTTTTTTTTCTCTGCACAGTTCTATGTTTCTGAAGCCTCTCTCAGAGCCAACATTTTAAAGCTAAAGGCAGTTTTCTGCCCACCACACCTGCTTGTTATCCTGGGCTGGCTGATAACTGCCTACCCGGAATGCGAGGCTGGGAAGTCCCTGTTGTCAATTCTCCTCTACGGTGTCCTTTAAACTTGCATCCTCTCCATTCTCACGGCTCTAGTAATAATAGTTCTCATCATTTCTCGCCTAAATTAATTCCATGAATAAATGTTTTTTAAAAATAAATAAATAAAAACCTCCTTAAGTGGGGTAACAAAAGTTTCCGAAAGTAAAATGAATACAGCGATAAAAAAGGAAGGACTGATAATAATTCTTACCCCAAATGAGAGGATGCACTGGGCTCCCAGCTGCAGCTTCCGCTCCTCCCAGACATGTTTTATGCCAGTGGATCACAAACCACTACACGCATCCGAATCACCTGCAGGGCTTGTGACCACAGTGGCAGGTTCTGAGTCAGAAGATCTGAGGTGGGGCTGGAGACGGCATTTCTATCTAGTTCCCAGGTGATGTTGATGCTGCTGTGCTGGGGACCACACTTCGAGAATTCTTGTTCTATACTTTCCACAGGATTATCTTTCTAAATCACAGATTTTCACAGACTAATTCCTAAATAAATTATTTGGTGCTTTTCCACTGCACGCATAAAACCCACCCTCTTTACCATAACATTCAAGATACTTCAAAGATTAGCCCTACCAGTATTTTCCAGCTATTGTCTTCCACCCCCACCCCATTATTCTATTCTGTTCAATCCCACTGTGTCCCTCATTTCTATCTACTCTTAGCATTAGCTCAATTAGATTATCATTTCCCAGATGTGATGCTTTCATGTCTCTCTGCCATCTGGGAATGGCCTCTTCCTCTTCACCTCTAAAGTCCTATTTATACTTCACTGCACATATTAGAGATCACCTCTGGGCATCTCCCTCGACTCCCCTGATACTTCGTTATATCGCTTTTGCAGTTTGATTTCTGTTATGATTGCTTTTGCTAGATTGTAACCTGGGTCAAGATTCCTGTTTTATTCACCTATGTTTACCTAGCACTTAGCACGGTACTCAGTTCAGAGGGACACGGTAAGTGCCAATTTCCTGTGGAATAGGGAAGTTTTGTTACCAGGTGTTGTATGCAAACAAGGAATCATGGAACACTACATCAAAAACTAATGATGTACTGTATGGCGACTGACATAATGTAATAAAAAAAAAAAGAAGAAGAAGAACTGCGTTACTATGCCACATTCAGTAGCACTAAGAGACTTGATGAAGGAACCTCTGCAAAGATGTTTAGTCAGTTTGGTTACGGCTGCTCCAGTTTCAACTCCAGACTGACTTTTAACTATAGTTCTTAAAAGTTACACTCTTTTGGGATTCCTTCCTTTTTTAATTTTTAAAGGTTCGTAATAGATATTCACATGGATGTCTTGTATATCATTTGGGCGTTCACACTGTATGCTGGCTTACATTTCAGGAAGATGATGCTTTATATTTGTAGAATTACCATAATGCTCTCTTTCCTTTCCTTATTAGGGAATTCCGAAATGACTTCCTAGAACTTCTCAGGAGACGCTTTGGTAAGCATCCGAGTATTGTGCATATAACAACGTCATAATCTTATAACCTGTGCAGGATTGACAGTGTTGTATTTTGTTCTTAGGCACTAAGAGAGTTCACAACAACATCGTTTATAATGAGTATATCAGCCATCGAGAGCACATCCATATGAATGCCACTCAGTGGGAGACTCTGACTGATTTTACTAAGTGGCTGGGCAGAGAAGGTAAGAATAAGACAGGATTTAAATAGTTACGTGGCTCCAATGCAGGGAGAGAGAATTGTCATAGTTTCTGTGTAAATTTACAGAAACAAGGATGAGTAGGGCAATTAAAAACTCGTGGACAGGAGCAGAATCTTCCAGGATTGATTTCATTTGTTACACTTGAATATGAGTGTCTGGAATGGTTCTTTTGATAGTTCAAAGATGTATCACCGAAGCATCCTCTCATTTGGGGTAAGAATTATTATCAGTCCTTCCTTTTTTATCGCTGTATTCATTTTACTTTCGGAAACTTTTGTTACCCCGCTTAAGGAGGTTTTTATTTATTTATTTTTAAAAAACATTTATTTGTTTATTTTAGAGAGAGAGAGAGTACAAGCGGGAGGGGCAGAGGGAGAGTCTGAAGCAGACTCCACACTGAGCAGGGAGCCCGTAGGGCTCGATCTCAGACCCTGAGATTACAACCTGAGCCGAAATCATCCAGGCACACCACAAGCTTTTTAACATTTTGTTTCAGTTTATTCCATTTCTGATCTTCCTAGGCTGAAGCTAGGGAGAAGAGAGGAGAAAGAAATTTTCTGTCAATGTATTACTTATTCAGTGTGTTACTTTATTCCATTGTATGGAGAAAATTTCTACTTAGTAAGTTAGCAGAATATCATGTACTCCTTGTATGTTAAATACTTAGAAACAGTTAAATAAGCGAGGTAATACTTCTTTTGTGTGTTTCCCTTGCTTAAATAGTTGACTTAACCTAGCTAGTTAAAAATCAGAATAATAATTTTTTCTGTTTAAGGAGATAAAATATTCTACTTAAAATACCTAAGTTTCATCAGCTGTGAATATGGAAAATTTATGTGCTACATGAATTTGTGTATTTGAATGTGTTTGAATGAATGTATTTTTTTTTTTTTTATTCTTATGTTAATCCCCATACATTACATCATTAGTTCTAGATGAAGTGTTCCATGATTCATTGTTCGTGCACAACACCCAGTGCTCCATGCAGAACGTGCCCTCCTCAATACCCACCACCAGGCCAACCCATCCTCCCACCCCCCTCCCCTCTAGAACCCTCAGTTTGTTTTTCAGAGTCCATCTTCTCTCATGGTTCGTCCACCCCTCCGATTTCCCCCGCTTCATTCCTCCCCTCCCGCTACCTTCTTCTTCTTCTTTTTTTTTCTTAACATATCTTGCATTATTTGTCTCAGAGGTACAGATCTGAGACTCAACAGTCCTGCACAATTCACAGCGCTTAACAGAGCACGTACCCTCCCCAGTGTCTATCACCCAGTCACCCCATCCCTCCCTCCCCACCCCCCACTCCAGCAACACTCAGTTTGTTTCCTGCGATTAAGAATTCCTCATATCAATGAGATCATATGATACATGTCTTTCTCTGTTTGACTTATTTCACTCAACGTAATACCCTCCAGTTCCATCCACGTCATATGAATGTATTTTTTTTAACTTTTTTAAATTAAATTTTATTTTATTATGTTCGTCACCATACAAAACTGAATGAATGTATTTGAATGAATAAGCACATGATGCAGAGATAGAACACATTTGTATTTACTTTTAGTTTTGATTGTATGCAAAAATGTTTTTTCTTTTAAGGTTTGTGCAAGGTGGATGAGACCCCGAAAGGCTGGTATATTCAGTACATAGACAGGGACCCAGAAACTATCCGCCGGCAACTGGAACTAGAGAAAAAGAAGAAGCAGGACCTTGATGATGAGGAAAAAACAGCCAAATTTATTGAAGAACAAGTGAGAAGAGGTCTGGAAGGGAAAGAACAGGTGGGCAACAATATCATTCTGGGAGGCAACAGAGAAAGGCTTCAGGAAGCAAAATTTTTAAGCATTGACTTGAATTTTGTAGGTCTTGTTCCTTAATTAAGAGAAGAAAGATGGCCAAGTATAAAAGCCCAGGTTTGGAGTTGAGACAAATCTGGGTTCAATTCCTAACTTACTGACTCACGGTCTTGTAGAATTATATAATCTTCTAAACCTTGGTTTCCTTATCCCTAAGGCAGAGGCGATAGCTAATGGGGAAGACAGAGCAGATCACATCACTGGGCTGGAATTAACGTAGTGCTGGAGTTAAACACAGTGTGGGAACCTATAGGGCCAGCATTCACCCCATTCTGGGGAGGATGCAGAGTATCTGAAGGTAGATACAACCTCTGGGCTTGAAGAATCAATGGGCAAAACCCAGACAAATGGGGGAAGGAAGACATGGTTCAGGTGGTTCAGATGTTGGAATAACTAGAATAAGGCATTTATTTTAACAAATATTTATTGGCTACCCCCTTCTTCTAGGCCTTCTTCTAGGCACTGGGGATAGAGCAGTAAACAGAAGGTAAAAACTCGCTGCCTCATGGTGCTTACATATCAAAAGTACAGGAAAATATAACCTAGTGTATATGTGAAACTACTAGCCATTTAGTATTTTTAAAAAACTTCTTGTGGTATAAGATACATGTGATAAAGTGTATGGTGGGCGTTAATCTTAAGGTGACAGCTCAGTGAAATTTTACACATGTATGTGTCTTTAGCAGGATGGATGGAAGTAGATGGACGGATAGCCTATGTAGCGACCCACCAGATCAAGAAATAGACCATTTCCAGGGGTCATAGTCATTCCCAGTTAATAGTCCCCATCCCCCAAGAAGGAACCAGGGTTCTTCTGGTACCACTGTTGATTATCTGTTAGTGTGTTTGTGAACTTTGTAGAAATGTGATCATACCATATACTCTCTGTCTGGCTTCTTTAACTTAAACAGAAGTTCTTTATGTTTCCTGTACCTATATTCTTTCCTATCAGTGTTTAACTCTTTTTTAAAAAGTGATGTCTGCTGTTCCATTTTATGAACGTCACACAATTTATCCATTCTCCTTTTGAGAAACATGTGGATTGTTTTCAGTTTTTGGCTATGGTGAATACAGCTGCTCTGATCATTAGTGTACATGTCTTATAGAAGCTGTTTTGTACAGAGAGATGCAGGAATTAGTCGGCAATAAGAAAGTAAAGATCCGTTCATGAGTCAACTTTTATACCATGTTAGTTGACCTCCTTGATAAGTGATGGGTGTGCATGTGTATTATGGTACTCTTTCCATATCCGTGTATTCATATGCGTGTATTCACACAGCCTTTTAGGAGTTTTCTGTATTAAATTAAAATAACAATGGTTATTAAACTGCTGTAACTGTCAAATTTAAACCCTTGCCTAAGATTGAAAGTTCTTTATTCTTGAAATTCTTCTCTTACCTTTTTCATTTTAAACCTCTGCTTTCAATAGAGGGAAAATGGTAATTTCCTATTGTGGAAATTAAGAAGGATCACATCATGTACAGAGGAAATTGATTTACTTTTTGGAATAGCATTGTTTTCTAACATTTTAGCGTAATTCTACTAAAACCTTCAAGTTAATTCATACTTTTCAAGTATAAATAGCATCTTCCCCTAAAAGGCAGTGGAAGTCCTACTGATCAGTGCTTCCTCATCGCATTCTTAAATATTATAAATTTTTAAAAAGCAACATCATCTTTCGCCTTCCTTTGTGAGATCCTAATGGAGAAAGAATATCTCAGCAGGATCTCAAGAACAACATTTTTATTAATAGAAAAAACAATCAACATTTATCAAACACTATTGCAGGCATTATGCTAAATGCTTCCTTTATTTTATCCTTATGACATCCCTACATATGCATATTATTCCCATTTTAAAGACAGAATAATTGAGGTACAGGGAGATCATGAGATTGACAGGTGATGAAGCTAATAATGTGCAGAGGTGGGTTTGACCTGCAGTTCTGTCTGAGTTCGTTTTAGGCTCTTGATCTTACACTAAACTATCCCACAGTGTAGAAGTGTTTTGCTTTTTAAAGTAATCCTCTAGCTAAAATTCTTTTTTTAAGATTTTATTTATTTATTTGAGAGAGCAAGCGAGAGAGAGCATGAGCAGGGGAAGGGAGAGGGAGAAACAGACTCAATGCAGGGCTCAATCCCAGGACACTGGGACCATGACCGGAGCTGAAGGCAGATGCTTAACCGACTGAGCCACCCAGGTGCCCCATCCTCTAGCTAAAATTCTTAAGGTTTATTGTTAATGTTGTTTCCTGTTTAAATTATAGTAGAAATAAAAATGTAAGTAGTTTTCTGGGATGTGGTACAGAGAAGCCACTTTTTTCCCCTTTAGAATAATTCTTAGTTGAAGAATATTTGCAGTACATATAATTTCTTAACAAGCTCTTAATCATTTTATTTTTTTATTAAGATTTCATTTATTTATTTGAGAGAGCGAGAGAGAATGAGCAGGGAGAGGGAGAAGCAGACTCCCTGCTGAGCAGAGAGCCTGATGCGGGACTAGATCCCCGGACTCTGGGATCATGACCTGAGCCGAAGGCAGATGCTTAACTGGTTGACTGAGCCATCCAGGTGCCTGGATTTTCATCATTTTAGAGCTGCATGTTGGAGCTGCCTTGCAACATGGGTAGCAAGTCATAATTGGGACTATTGAATATTGATAGTAAATGCACTGTGAACCAAACCTTCATACTCTTTTTTTTTTTCCCTTTTAGGAGGCTCCTATTTTTACAGAATTAAGCAGAGAAAATGATGAAGAAAAAGGTGGCTTTACTTTTTTCCTATTCTTCTTTTAATATTGATGATTTTATATTGGCTCTGCCAAAAACTAGCACCATGTTTAGGGGCAAGATGTATAATCTGTCTGGATTGCATTGTTTTTACCGATTTATGAAAAGGTAACAATAAATCAGGTAGGATGCTTTCAGCTGCAAGTAACAAAACCGACCAAAATTAGCCTAAATAATAAGGAAATACCTTGCCATAACAAGAGTCCCAGAGGTAGGGCAGTTCTGGATGCCAGGCCATCCATCAGGAGCTGGACACAAGGTGGTGGTAGGCACTTTCAGCCATCGTATGCACACCCAACAATGTCCAGAGGATGACAGAGAGCATCTCTTCTGGAGTCCCCTGTAAGCAGGAAAACTTTTCCTAGGAGACACTCCTCCAGGCAGCAGACTTCCTTTTGAATATCGCTGGCCAGTCCATATCAGCCTCCACCTCAAGAACAGGCACTGGGAAAGGAAGTGGCATCATTTTGATTGGTTTAGAGCAAAAAAACCTTACTATTTACCTCCCGAAGCCCCCCACCTCCTAATCCCATCACTTTGGGCATTAGGTTTTCAACATATCCGTTTTAGGGGGATGCAAACATTCAGACTCTATCATCCTCCAAGCCATGCGTGAGAGGTGTAAGAAACAAAATTGGAGTCCTGTCCCCTTAGCATGGGGAGAAGGGGCCCGAGGAGATGGGGAGCGGCCAAGGCAGTCCCCTATAGCTTGATCATATGTAGATCTTTCCCAGCTCTGTGAGCATCCGTTCAGTATTATCTGCAGGAATTCGTCATCTCTGGATAGGAGCATTCCAGCTCTCGTTTATTCAAAATGTCCGTGAGCTTTCTTTGTGGATACATTGTGGTGTCTTATCTGATAAGTTTTATAAGTTTCCTGAAATATATATACACACACACACACATTATATATATATATAATACATATGATGAAATATACATGTAAAAAAATACATCATTTTTTTTCTTCCAGTTACATTTAATTTGAATAAAGGAGCATGTAGTTCAGCAGCAACGTCATCCAAATCAAGGTGAGCTCCATGAACATACATCTTAGAACCTGAGAATTTTTGTGAGATATTGATTACTACACTTTCAAAGCGCAGGATTGTGAATTATTTTTTTCTGGTTGTAATTTTCTTCTTTGTCTCATTTTTGTTTGATGGTGGTTTTCTTTTGTTAGCACCTGTCTTTTTCCTTACCTGCCCGTGATACGATGCTTCTGAGGAAAGGCACATTTTGATTAAATGCCTCACATGACAAGTGTTTGCTTTTCTCTGAGTCCTTCTCCACTTAGTGGCTCCCCTAAGCTATTGCAGTGCTATGGATTTTTCTATCACAGCCCACTCACCAAGTTTAAATATTAGCTTGGGTATACAGTTTTTGTTCTGCCTACTGTGTTAAGATTTTGTGAGAACAGAGACTAGATTATTCACCCGCCTTCTTAGGCCCTGGTAAAGTATAAATGCACCAGAAGGCACGTACTCGTAGTTGTGCTCCCGGCTGCCTGGTGTAAGTAGCCGAGCAGGGCCTGACCAAGCTTTTGTGTAAAAGGCCACATAGTAAGTATTTCAGACGTGACTGGCCGGTTGTCTTTGTCACAGCCACTTGACTGCTGTCGGAGTGAGAAAGCAGCCGCAGACAATGTGCCAACAAATGCACGTGGCTGTATTCCAATATGATCTTACTTCTAAATACAGGTGGCAGGCTGCATTTGGCCCTCAGGTTGGAGTTTGCCAAACCCTGACATAGCATGTGGTCAGGTTGCTTCTGTTCCCTTTTCATGTTCTCTTCTCTTGCGGTTCTTATCTGTTTTTTCACCAAATATTTATTCACAATCTGTGATGCACAACGTGTCCAGTTTGGTTATGGAGATTCAAAACAAAACAAAACAAAACGGTAAGATACTCAGGAAGCTGCCTTCCCAGCGTCTACCAGAATTCCGTTTTGAGTTGGCCAATATTTATTTTACTTAGTATTTTATTTATTTATTTTTATTTTTATTTTTTTAAATATTTATTTATTTGAGAGAGACAGAGATAGTGAGAGAGAGCTCGAGCAGGAAGGAGGAGGAGAAGCAGACACCCCGCAGAGCAGGAAGCCCGATGCGGAGCTTGATCCCAGGACCCCGGGACCATGACCTGAGCAGAAGGCAGGCACCCAACCATCTGAGCCACCCAGGCGCCCCTTTACTTAGTATTTTACGTGTTGTTTATTTAAGACCTAACTCAGTTTTCTTGGTTAAGTTATAGGCTAGTGCTTCTTGGCACAGCTAGAAAAGTGGCCAGGAGAAGTGAAGGAAATAGAGGAGCAATGTATAACTGCTTCTTTGGGCTTGCCAGAGATCTTCACTTTGATCTAAATGCTTCAGAATTGACACCTACATTAGATACCATGAAGGACATGGTTAATTGGGTCCCACATACAGTACATTTGAAAAGAAAATTCTTTTCAAAATATTGGTAGGATATGACCTGGAAGACAGAGTCAAATATATCCAGTCACACACGCCTTATGGTTTTAGACCTGTACGTGTTTCTCTCCGTTCTCCTTTATTATTTGTTATTCCTGAGTGTAGGTAAATGTTAAAATTGGTCCCAGTGGCCCCCAAATTGGTCTCCCTTGTATTAGTTTTCTATGGCTGCTGTAACAAATTACCATAAACCAAGTGTCTTTTTTTTTTTTTTTAAGATTTTATTTATTTATTTGA